CGTGGGGTACACAACAGTGATGAACGTAAAGGCCGAGGGCCAGCTGGTTCATAAACTTCATATACTGCACCTATGATTCAACAATTCCAATCACTCTGTAAGGCCTTGAAACAACTTACAGGAACTTCAGAGTCAAAATCTGTGGTGATGACTCCAAAAAGGAGAACCTGGGTATCCATGGGAAAGGGAAGAGAACAGGGGATTCCTAATTGCCGCATCTTAAGATGGCCTGAACTTTCCAAGTGTTATACTTGTTTAAATAAAATATTAAACTTTAAATGATACTTGAAACTGCAACAGAAGTATTAGAAGGATTTCTCACAATAGTCTGTAAAAAAGGCCACTCAGGAATACATTTTCAAAACATTATAAATGGTACACTACTTTCATCAGTGCTACCGTAACTTCACTATTTCAAGATCTAATAGAATGCTTACCAACTCCTCTGTGAAATATTGCTAGTGTTCCATCAGCTAGTGCAACTAATACTATTCCTTTCACATGTCTAGGAAAAGAAAGGAGGCACAAGCACACGCTGTTAGATTGCATTTCTGAAAATACAAGTTTAAAGTAAGGTAGAAATTTTTTTTATCGTTCAACATAGTTTTTATATTCTCATTAACCCTAGCGCTTTGATTTCGACAATAAGGCTCAAAGTCCAATTCAAATAGCTTAAACATTTTTAGCTACAATACCTGAAGGAAACAATGATAACAATCTATATATAATTTTTGAGCATACAGCTACCAAGAAACGCATGATTTTAATCATGCTATTTTCAACAGATACAAGGTTCCTTTTATTTTCCTTATTCCCCAAACACTTTCCAATGCCCTTCAAAGAATACACGTGCATTTATGGTAACCGATATTCCAATATCTTAGGAGAAAATATAAACTATAAGTTTTTTTTAAAACAAAAATTCACTATGATTTACACGATATTCTTTCAGAACTTACACAATACTGAGAATAGAATCTTTAAGTTTAATGGCATGAACACATTTCCTCCACTGGGCCACTGACGAATGAACATACAAGCTGCAAAGACAAATCGGGAGGGATTGAAAGCACTCAAAAATGGTCTATCAGACAGAAAAAAAAAACAACAAAAAACCCTATAGCTGAAATCCACAATTAGAGAGGAAACAAGTTTTCATCTTACGGTGAAAAACCTATAGACTTGGAAAGAAAGAACTACCTGAGCAGGCAGAACGTTTTTTCAGATGCCCAAAACATTACAGACCCCTATGTCTGCAGTAAAAAGGGCAATATATTTTTCCTAGTATAATACTGAATATTATGGAATTATCAGACAAGACTTTCACTAGAAAAACTCATCCAGAGACAGAGGTAAAAAACCATCACCTGCCAAAAAATCCTTGCTAATCACCTACAATACTTCCTTTGAATTCTGTAATATCTAACTAACATAGCCAAATGTACAAAGTTTAGGTTCTCTTGAGGGCTTCTTGCACTTAATCTTGACTCTTGAGACAGTTAACCTGTAGGCCCAAGAAGCAAGTTTAAAATAATTGCTCCAAACAAATCTAATCCAAGATTAACATTTTCTTACCATCCATTCTGTGCTCCAAGCCACATCGTTGGTAAAAGGCTACTCATTTTCTGTGCTTCTTCTCTCACTAGATCTTGCTCATTTGGCAAAACCGCAATATCTTTATACAACTCTGACTCACTACTGAGGGGGAAAAAAAAAAAGTTAAAATACTTTGAATAAACCGCACAGATTACTCAAAGTATAACCTAGGTATTAGCTTTATTGCTCTTGGTGTCTACATTTGCTTTTGAAGCACATAAGCTATTTAAAAACCAGTAACCACACATAGAAGTATACCAACTGTACAGGTGAAAACTTCAGTAACAAAGAATTTCTCCAAGTGGACATTTACTTCTAAAAGGAAATGCAGATTCCATTCAACCCTGTCAATATTACTGATATTTCTGGCAATGGCAGGAGAGAGATGAGGGAAACGTATCAAAAGACTGTAATGCCCTGACCTCCCAGTAATACATTTGGGTCTTTGCATGGAGAATAAAGATTCCTGAGCTGTCTGAAGAGCTGAAATATGCTTTCATTTGAAATACTGATTACTTTCACACTTCTTCACTCTTGTATCTATACTCACAGACTGACTATCCTGAGAAAGGAAAAACATGGTTGAACCACCAGCTGATCAGGAGGAAAAAAAAATGTAATTCTTACTTATTTTTCCTCAAAACAGGAGATTTAAACGAGCACTTCTAGATCAAAGCCATTCACACAAAGACCATAAGATGACTTAGTGACAAACTGTTAGACACTCACTGCTCCCTTCTGGAGGTGTCTGCACTCTAGACATGAATTCAGTGACAAAAAACTCTTCATACATAGGCAAATGCTTCACGAAAGTAGAACTTAGAACGTCTTGTACCAAGACTCCTGACATACACCTCATCTTTACCAATGTTCAAAAAATTGTGCGCGCAATGTATTTTACGAAAAAGTTTCATCCCTATGTTGTGTTCTTGAAAATATCACATTTTGCATTTTAAATACGTTTTAAAGGCATGAATATTGACTACGTACCTAGGCTGGTACACTGGAGAACTCTCTGCTGTATTTTGCACTCCCAGTGGATCTGTGAAGACATGCTCTGTGTAGACTCCAGTTTGTGCAGTATCAGCTGTGTCTTCTCCTGCCCCTGCATTGACCTCTGTTGCCTCTGTTGCCTCCTCTGCTGTTGGAATGTTTTCCTCTACTGAATTACTTTCAGTTGCAATATCTACGAAAGAAAAAAAAAAAAACAAACTTGAAAACTACTATAACGATTGCAGAGATATAATTTTTATTTGCTTAAAACAGCCAGAACTTAAAACTGATAACAATTAACTATTTGCAATAACCAGACAATTGTAAAACACGCTTAATACCTCATCTAAAAAAGTTTTTTATATACAAATATATATATAATTATATATATATATATAAAAAATAAGTAAGTGATCAGGAACATAGTGCAATATGCTAAAGTTCGGGTATTGACAAAATGTCAAATGCAAACTCTCCCATAAAAGTTCAGTTTAAGTATCAACCCAGTGACTAACGGTTTGGTTTGAAATGATGAACAAGGTTAGCAGTCAAATTTGATAAATAAGAAAAACAACTAAGGCAACAACATTACATACCATAAGAAAACAAATGATATTCCCACACAGTACTTGTTTTACAGTATCTCCGCTTAAGGACAAGCTCTTCTATTAAATACTTGCATCATCCATTCCTTAGTTACACCTACTGAGGTCTGCCATCTCAGCCACACTTCTAAGATTTTTCATACCTGACTGTTTATCTCCCACAGGTGAGCCACCATTTGCATCATGCACCATTTGCACCGGTGCTCCTGTAACACCCTCTGCAGTACAGCCAACCACGGTTATTCCTCCTAACAGGCTATCAGTTTCTGCAGAACTGTTGCTCGTCATGCTTCCACATAAAGATGACTTGTCCACTTGACTGGGATCTGCTTCTTGTGATCCTTCTTCTCCTGCAGGATAGTCTGTTTCCCTAGCCCCTGAAAGATTAAATTGCCATGTCTTTTGTGTGCATAAAGGGGAGTCATTTTTCTGTCTAATAATGAAGCTTTCAAACTGAAAGAACTCTCCAATACCCAAGCTACAACATGCAGAATACCTACAGGCTTATTTTGACATAATCAGCAGACATTAAAGATACCATCATTAAATTCAAAAAGCAAAAGCAGTATCTACATGTGCTGCAGCATATCTGTAGGTCATACACCATGTGAAAGTTTGCAGGATGTTACAGCTAGCTGATTTCTAATTTTAAAATAAATCTTATTTACATTAAAAGTAGTTTCATGACAGATGCACATTTAAGAAAAGGAATATATCGATCTACACTTTTATAAAGAATGTAATTGCAACAGATATTTTGTTCCAGGAAAAAAAATAAAAACAAACATTGCTTTTCTCTTGAGCAATCCTCTCAATACTTTTCTCAAAATGTGAAAGTGAAATAGCATGAAATAGAGTAAAAATAATATTCTTAGCTTACATTATATTCAAGAATTATATATAGGGGACTAGCTCCTATGGAGCAAAAACTCAAACTTCACCAATTACTTTCAAGGGCTATGCTACATAACTCATTCCACCAAGTGAGTCTCATCATACACTGTTTTCATAGCCTCTCATGCATCCTCTTTTCAAAATCTCTACTTAAATCATCCCTTCCTTCAGCCCCACATTCATTTTCATTAGGAAACCTCTTTGATTTTATTAATTTGAAAGCCTCAAAATATTACTCTTACTCAAATCTTCCCTCAAAAGTGTTTTCTTCTGAGCCTATTAAACAGAACTACTTCACTAAAAGTAATGCTATAGGCTACTATAAGCATAAGCTAACAAGTAATCCAAAAGCACAATTAGGTTCTTTTCAAGAAGCATAATCTTCTCCTATTATATTGCCCTCAGTTCACTATCCAGACACACCCCCAATATTACTTTTTGTTTAATGCAAAATGGTAAGTCTCCTTAAGGGAGACTTACCCTTCTTATCCTTCTATAGCCAACACTAACATTTACTTTACTTTCAAGAGGCTATGAAGGTCTAAAAAGCTTTTCTTTCATGAAGTTCACAGTTGCATAAAACATTAGCACTACTGTATATTTTCATGATGCAGCAGACAAAATACTTGGTCTGTGCGATTACCATCTCTCTACCTTTGAGATTATTTAGGTCAAGAGCCAATTCAAGAATGGAAGAGTAGAACAAAAATTCAAAAATTTTTCCCTTCACCTAAATATTTTTATTACTATTACAGTAACATTTTATACAAAAAAATTAACACATCTTGACTTTTTCATTGTATTAAAAAAAAAAAAAAAACAACTGAACAAGATAAACTTAAACCAAGTGCCAGAACATCATGAGTCTTTACCTGGTACACTAGCAATACAAAGCACGTGAGAATTGCAAACAATGAAACTGTCCAAAATATTTCCTGGTTGGTTAGCATCAATAATAATAACTTTTGTAGCAGAATGTGTGCTAGTACAGATCCAAACTAGACTGGATAATTCTTCCTGATGTTTCAGCTCTTTCTGCTGGTCCTGAAGGAGAATAAAGCCAAAATAGAAGTGAATAACAACAGGAAAGGGGACAACAAAGCTATTGCCATTGATCTTATGTTCCTACATTATCAACTACAGAAACATATTTAACTTATCACTATTTATATAATTTCAATGCCGTTACAAAACTAAAGTTATTTAATTGTTCTCAGCAGATTTGGAAGATAAAAAACTAATTTTATACCTGCATAGAAAACAATAGAAAACGATGAAACTGCTCAATTATAAAGCTGAATAAGCGTAAAGCTATTTAATTCTGTTTATATGCCTTCTACCATAACTCAGCATCTCCACAGCTAGTGTTATGTCCCAAAGCATTTCAAGCCAAAATGCAACTCTGCCT